ATATAGCAATAGTCAAAAAGGTAAAAAGCATTCAAATAGAGAAAAGGTGATGTCCACAAAATCAGCAAATAACCCAAATCCAAGTTAGGAGACAAATCAGTCCCAAAATCCAAGAAGCAAATCCATAGGAAGAAAGTCTTTCTTTTCCAAAGGTGGCAAATGCAAAAGTCCCTTGAAGAAACAGGAGCCAACTTGAATCAAATAATCTAAATGCAGTAGCTTGAAATCACAAACACCAGCTTACAAAAATCTCAGCATGTGCATGAATACAAAGCAAGATTATACATGATTCCCCGCATGAACAAGCAAGCATGAAGCAGGCATGAAAACCAAATGTTGGACTTACTGAAGAGTATAGACTCACAGGCCCTATATTTATTCAGAAAGCCATGGCAAAAGCATTCCCTTTCCCTTGGGAAACCTCTCCCTGACCCCCTGATTCTCTTAATCTTTCAGACCGTCTTCTGCCCCCTTCCAGGTATGATGATGATTGATTTGACTTCTCCTATCAAAGACTGGACTACTGCAATGCACTCTACGTGGGGCTGCCCTTGAAAACGGCCCAGAAATTTTAGATGAGCGGCAGCCAGGTTGTTAACTTGTGCTCCTTACAGGGAGAGGTCATCCCTCCTGTTCAAGGAGCTCCACTGACTGCCATTCATCTACCAGACCCAATTCAAGGTGCAGGTTCTTACCTACAAAGCCCTGAACGGTTTGGGACCCGCCTACCTGTGTGACCGCATCTCTGTATACGAACCCACACGATCTCTTCGTTCATCTGGAGAGGCCCTGCTCTCGATCCCACCAGCATCGCAGGCACGATTGGTGGGGATGAGAGAGAGGGCCTTTTCGGTAGTGGCCCCTCAACTCTGGAACTCACTCCCTAAGGACATCAGGCAGGCCTCAACCCTGGGGTCTTCAGGAGGAGCTTGAAGATGTGGTTGTGCGAGTGTGCCTTCCCGGAATAATGATCCCATAGCACTTTGTCCCTCCAAAGCACTTTATACTTTTAGGTCTGCTCGTATGTCTTCCACAAACGCCACTATCGCCTTTTCGTCCATGCCTCAGCACTTTTCCAATTTTAATTTTTACATTTGGCCTTCCCACAATTTTTAATTGTATGTTGTCTTATTGATAATGTTATATGTTTATCGTTTATG